TATGATTTTGTGATATGAATGAATTATTTTTTAATTTTTCGTTTGAATTGATGATGAGAGGAGAAAAACGCGAGTTTATATAATCGTGGAAACAAATGCCAAGAGCAAAACTAGATATGTCAAGTTAACGTCATAATTATTTAATTGTCATTGAGACGTCATTTATAAGAAGATTACATCATAAATAAGTCATTGGCGATCTGTCTGTCAGTCACGGGTATTAATTCTGTGACGTATAGCGCCAGCCGGCTGAACCACACATAAATTCGGCGAACGTAAAATATCCTCGAGCATAGAAAAATTTTCGCCTGCGGTGCATGTGATGATCATTTGACAGAAAGTATTTTATATAGTAAAATGTGGAATTTTCAAGTTTTATTAATAATATAAGAAATTTAAAATTTAAAAGCGATATAAAATTCCTTAAATTAATGCTACTTGCCAATGTTGATTTTAAAAATCATAAATAATAAAATTGCCTCATAAATTACGCAAATTATAGTCAAATGCACGAATCCGTGTGCTCAGACTGCAAAAAAAAACAAAATGAAAACAAATGGTTATACAACTTTAATTTATTATAAAAATGATTTTGTTCTGCAATCGCACATAAGTTTTAAAGATATTGTATATTTCTTCTACGAGAGAAACCATTGCTATCATGTCTAATAATATCTTTGGAATAGCGTCATTTGTCTGCAAATGGTCTGGTGCTCATTCTGAACCACCAATTTTTTACCACTTGGGAGTATCTTGAATTTCACGTATTTAACGATCACGAGGATTTAGCCAATTTAAGGTAAATCTTCTATTGGTTTTTATCGAGGACGCCAAATTTATCTATATCCGTGGGAAACAAGAAGTACTTTCCGAAACTGTAGTAATTATAATAAGCTATTATTAATTCTTATAGAACATTTGCGTGACCATACCAAAACAAAAGCCCTTTAAGGTAGACTTAAAAAAACTGTTTTAACTACTTTAAAAATGATCACATTGACCTTATTATTTCTTTCGTTTAGTGCCCATTTGCAATGATTCGGTTCGATTTGGAACCATTGATAAACTAAATGAACACTTGATAACATTATGGATTATACAGGCGTAGTTGATATGACGAACTAGGAAGAAGGTACTCTTTCCAAGATATTGCTTTCTACCTCATAAAAAATTATGTTATTTCTTATTTAACAAGTTATATCTAAGACACGTCTTAATATATTTCTTTCGTTGTCAAAAAAAAAAAATTAATCAAGGCGATGAGTTTGAAGATGATTAACTTATATGTAAAGTGTTTTATGGGCTTACCCATCTTGATTTAAAACTTTATTTTTATATGTAAATTTATCAAGGCGAAATTTTTTTGGAACGAGCGTACAAAATAGATTTTACTATGATCAATTTTATTTACGTTTAGCACAAAAAAAATAAGATCACAAATTATACGTTTTTCAACAGCCTGTTTACACATTGGTGTCATTTAATGCCAGCTACATTCAACTTTTAAGAGCAACGTTCTGTTTTAGTCCTTTCCCTTTGTTGAACTTTTTTATTCCGACTTAGTTTAAATAAGCGCATCTCAGGTATTTCATAAATTTTGATTCCTTCTAAATCTTGAGCTTTTTCTTCGATTTTAGCGTGCACTTTTCGATCTCTGCTGCTGTCCAGAAGCCTTAAATTGATCAGATACATGTAATGCTTTATTGTATTCTTGTAAAAGACAATTGTTCCATTCGGTTAATATGTCACAGACATTATCAATTGCGTCTCGATGACTTCGTTATAACACATGGTCTTTTGTATTATTATCTACAGGATTTTTAGAAAAATCAAAATCATTCGCGCTGAATTAGAAATATTCACTTCTTTTGAGAATGACAATATTGTTCTCATCTTTAATTTCTTTCTCCCATGTGGTTTTTAAAATTTTGCCAAAAGGCGTTTCTTCCCCTTTCAATTTATATAGAATCACTTTGTACCTTAATTGAATACTTTCGGGGTCTACATTAATCCGACAAGCTTGGTAATTTTTGACATTTTTTTTTTTTGTAAAACGGTTGAAGGAAAGAGAATTATAAAATGAAAGAGGAGCAGGAGGAGTGATCGGAAAGGGAAAATTTTCTAACTTTTAACCAGGTCCTTAATGATCTATCACTTCGTCATCCTTTTAAACTGATATTAGGTTCTTCTATAATTAAGTTGTCGTGATCTTAAAAAAAATAACCTTCTGATTTTGAAGATGAAGAATTTTGATCACTTTTTTTTTTTTTACAAAAGCGATTTTACAATTTTTTTTAAAAAAAAACTGCGCCATTTAACATGACGAATTAAATTGTGAAGATATTCCAAAAAATATTTGTCACAATAATAATTTAATAATGAAAAAAGAACCGAAAGACCTAATTTCAATGAACATTGTATACTTAAAATAAAACATGCCATACTGAAATTTAAAGCATCAAGGATGGTCCAAAGAATATTATTTTGATTGTATTTGCAATAGTTTCTAAAATAATTAAAAAATTTTTTTTTCAACTGACCAGATATATTTCCAAGGATAGTAGTGTATGATATAAGGTTTTAGAATCATAAGATTAATGCATGCTGACTTTTGACAAAATTGATATTCACCCATAAATATTCAAATCTGCGTGATAAAAAAAAAAAATAATGTATAATAATATTTAATTTGACAAATTTCTTAAATATGTAAAAAAAAAAAAAAATAAAAGTAAAGAATAAAAAATTCTTTATAAAACAAACAATTCAAATAAGATAAACCTTCATGAAATTAATTCATCATTTAGGATTCTGGAAGATCAAAAGGTCATCTGGGTTCAGGAATTTTTTAACAAATTAAAATTTTTATTGCATTTTAGTTTTTGATGTTATTAGATTAAATTAAAATGCATGAACACTTAAATTTGATCAAAAATTTCTCAGAACCTGAATCCTCCTATCTGGTTAAAAAACATAAATGAAGTTTAATAAAGTTTATTTTGAATCATATATTTATAGTCAATAAGTCTAATATAAAACTCTCTTCAGATAATCAGCTTTCATTATATTTACTTTTTTGAAATTTTTACTAGAAAAATTTTTTTACTTTTAATAATAACAGATAATAGATTACAAATAGATGAACTCAAAGTTAAAATTAGAAAACCATTTTCACTGACAATAATGAAAATGAATAAATAACTTGATTAAAATAGACAAAGTATTAAATTATGTAATCATAATAATATAATTAATCAATTAGATAATGATATAATTAATTTTAACCATATTTAGAATACAATATAAAGAACAGAATACTAAAAGAAAACAGAAAAACAAAAAAAAATACAGATAGAATTACAATTAGGATCTAGCAAAAAAGTTTGGATTAACCAATTTATGCTATAGCTTAATATATATTAGTATAAATATAGGAGATTTTGAAACAAGTTTGAGAAGAAATTTTAAGATTAATTGAACTTTATTTTTATTAATTATATTTATATTTTAATAAAATTACCTTTAAATAAAATTAAAATCTGTTATTCTTGAAAAATCAACAGTTAAGAATCAAGCTTAATATTTAGAAAGAAAAAATAGGTTTATTCTAATTTTAAATACATTTATTAACTTGTATCTTATTAATTAATGTCTCTAAAAATAATATATTTTGTGTTAAATAAATCAAATATTACATTAATATAAGATTTTATAAAAGTCTAAACAGTTTTTATCTTTAAAGAAACTTAAAATATATTATAACAATACTATTTTGAATTTATATCAAATCTTCTTATCCATAACTTTCTTTATATCACATATATTATAAACTTTAAAAAAGATTACCTAATAAATTAATTATAACACTTTTTCTATTTTTGACAATCAATTCTTAATCTCTAAAATAATCAACATTGTAAACTCTTAACAGTAAGACACTTCCTTTTCTAATTAAATATTTAAATCTAAAACTAATTTTTTTTCATATATTTGTTTCCAATTAGAAACACAGATTATATACTTAAATAATTTACTTATGCATCAAGGAATCTGTAATGATATAATAAAATAATTACCAATGTTAACCCTGTAGAAGAATTCATTTAAATTGTGTTTTTTATTAAAAAATCAATAATTAACATTAATATTTATATATAAACCTATTACTTCTAACTGAATAAAAAAAAGTTCTTATAACTCTTACTATACCAAATTTCCTTTACAGAATTCTTTTGCTTTCATCATCATAAAACTCAAAGATTAATTTTACCTAAAGTATTTCTCACCTTAGACAGAAACATATTTTTAACTAGATAAACTTATGTTACTATTAATAAATACTTTATTTGAAAAAATGTCAACATATTTTATCTTAATGCTTAGCCTTTATAATTGATTATCAAAAACTAAAAGAAATTTCATAAAAAGCCCTCAATGATTTTTCTAGACCTTTCATCTTATTTTCAAAATTTCAAAAGAAATTATAAAAAAATTCCTTTTTCACTATTTCCTATAATGTTACGTTCAACTTTCTAAGAATAGTAATAACCTACATATCAAATTCATTCAAATATGAAATTGATGAAATTATGTAACTACTGAACTGGCTAGTTTGAATCCTATAATATCATTATAAGCAAACTAAACGGTGATACAGATGAAATTTAAAAATAAAAAATCATCTGTTATTCTACAACAGTAACAAAATAAAGTGAACACATTTTGCATACTACAAGAGGACAGACAAATATATAGAAAAATTCATACATATAATGCTAGCTCAAAAGCATCTCAATTAATAAATTAAGCATTTAATAGATTCATTAACTTGATTTTATGGAATGTTTAATTGTAATTTTATTTAAAATTCAAAATCAAAAAAATTTATATAAAAAATTTCAAAGTTAAATAAGATATTTTAAAGTGATTGAGATCGTCATAACGTCCATGGAACTTTCGCAAAAAAAAAAAAAAACACGATGGATTTAATATTTTTATTATTAATTGTGACGAGGTCTGACATGGGTTACCCGTAATGTACCCGATTCATTCTTAGTCTATTAAATAATAAATATGTATTAAACAAAAATGATAAGTTTATGAATTAAACCGTAAATATATTAATACCGTTCCGTCAAGAGCCATAGCTCTATTTAATGCATGTTCAGAATTGAAATCAATGTGAGCAAATTGCTTTTGAGGTATGAAACGGATATCTTCAACCTATTACACAATAGGATTAAGTTTATTAGTAACTCAAATTTGAAAGAACCAATAAAATAAAGAAAAATACGAACATCTTCACTATCAAATAGATCACGCAAATGTTCTAGTCTCATAGAACCAGGCCATGAGATGTAAATAGTAAATACGTCCGACTTGTGAAAAAAAAAAGGGAAATTTGCGTTAATATCTTCGCATATAATATCAATTGCTTTCTTTAATTCATCACCTTATTATTATGATTATTGTTATGATTATTGTTATGATTATTGTTATGATTATTGTTATGATTATTGTTATGATTATTGTTGCGATGATTGTTATTCTGATGATTATTATTATTATGACGACGATATTTATTGTTACTATTATGCGATCTTTTAGAATCTGGTCCATTCTCGTTCCAGTTTGCTATAGTTGGAACTTCAGTAAAACGATGCTGAGTTGGAACATCCGTTACTTGTTCTACGTCAGATGGCCTGAAACCTTGACTAGACTAAAAAGAAATAAAGTAATGTAGAATTAATAAGAATTATAAGACAAATAATTTGGTATATAATGTATTAATATAAACGCATACATCTAAACTCGAATCATAACGAGTCTTACTAGGAGATCTTCTAGCTTTCTGTTTATCTGGTCAAATTGATTTGTAATTTTTATATGTAAGTTATTGACTGATAAAATATTTTGAAAACAACGAACTTAATGATTATCAGGCGATATACCATCAGTACTAGGTGGAGTTAATCGACTTGAATTCTAATTGTTTATAAAGAAAGGTGAGTTAGTTATACAGAACATATATCCACCCAATAAATCAATAAAGTTTGCGTAACCGCAAATAGATATAAGAATATTGTCAAATCATTAATCGATACAATATAATTTAAAATTCACCTCTAATCCTGAAAGGAAATCATCGACGGCTGTTTCTATGGCTCTTTTAAATTCTGTTACTTTATATTTATTGCGATTTGTTATGAGATACGACTAATTAATTAAAAATAAAGAAAATTTAAAAGGAATTAATACGTAACGATATATAAATAGAAAAACGAAAGATGCTGTATATTCTGAGGATTCTTTAAATATCGAGAAAAGAAAATTGATAATCTACTTGTGATTTTAATGCGTTATTCTCGGTTTTCAATTCTTCGATCTTTTCTTTCAATAGACTGATTTCTTTCTGTAAAGAAATGTTTGTTTAAAAAAAATAGAATAAAAAAAAAAAAGCTGGGAAAACGAAGTTTAAAAAAATAGGTGTACTTGTGATTTTTGCTGTGGAATGATAAAATAAATTTAGATAATTTTTGAAAAGCAATTAAAAATATATATATATATATTAATATAATATATCTAATTCGCATCGTGAACAACGTACTTGTAATCCTTGAGATCTTAATAATTTTGTATTCTCTTTCTTTAACTCTTCGATCTTATCTTTTAGCTGTTCTACTTCATCTTGCTGTATAGATAATATAATTAAAAAATTGAAATCGAGAAAAAAGTTTACAAAAAAAACGTACGTTTGATTTTATTTCTTCGATTTCCTCTACGGAATTTCTTACTTTTTTATCTAAGTAGAGTACTTGCGATTTTAATCTATCATTATCTTTTTGTGATTCATAAGCTTTTTCTTTAAATTCTTGGATTTGCCTCTTTAATCGTTTTATTTCGTCGTCCTTTACCTGTATTAAAAGAGCAACAATTTTATACCTAGTAAAGGTAATAATATTTTACTTTGACTTAATGTAATCAAACAGCTTACTCGAATAGTTTTGCTCATGTCTACGACGATACTAAGTGGTTGTTCATGTTCCTGTTCAAGATCATTTTCATAACCAAACTCATGATCGGACATCCTTTAGACTGTTCTGTGCTTGAATAATTAAAAGGTAAAGAATAACTTGTAAATATATGCCCTTCTCAAAGCATACAGTGTATGCAATAACAATAGGGATAACTTTTTGAAAATGTATAAAATATCTATAAATTTAAATCGGTGCACCCATGCTTAATGTGGCGTATAATTTTAAATAAACTAACCTTAACTTACCCTAATCCTAACCCACATGACATCTGTGACAAATACCAAGTGACAAATAGGTTTTCACGCCTATTTACATAGTCAAAAAAATGAAACCCGGAGTGTGTGAAGCGGTATGACAGTTTATTCATATAAATCACGTGCCGAGGTGAATCACATTTGACAAATAATATGCTAATACCAAATTCTAACTAATCCTAATAGTAAAAACGGAAAACTGGAAGAATATGATACAATGTGACAAATATTTTATTATAATCACATGAGAGCTAAGCTATTAAAATCACTTTATGGGCCAAAAATGAGATTTTTGATTCATATTGTTATGATATATGAACTTTATTTGGTTAAAATTTTATACCATCAAAATTTCTCATTTTTTGTGTAACATTATTCAAAAAATCTAAAATTAGATTTTAGAAATGATCGACAAAATATTTAAAAAGTTAAATTCAAAATTTTTAACTTTAATTTAAACCATTATTAATAGTTTAAATGTATATTTAAATAGGTCTAAAATAAATATAATAATTAATTAAATAAAAATAAATATAAATATAAATAAAAATAAAATAAAAATAAAAATAAAGATTAAAAAAAAAATATATAAAATATATATATAAAAATTAATTAAAGTTTTGAATAATTAATATCTTTATATAGATTATCAACATATTGTCTAATTTTTGTATATATTTTTAAATATAAAGGAGTATAAAAAGTATTAAAAAAACTAATACAATTACATTAATTTATTTTTTATTTTTTTAAACTATAGGTTAATATTTTGTTGAATTTTTATTCATTATTAGAATAATTTAATCTAATATGACATAAACTTAATCAAATTAAGGTAATAATTTATAGGTATCACATCATATTTCTTCAAATTCACT